ATGGGAAGGGAATTGACCATGGGAAGGGGCTGATCTTGCCCTGGGTCTCTACCAGATCAGCTGATCCCTTAGCTGTCACAGCACTCTGGGGACATAGAAGGCAGCCAAAAGTTTAGGTCTGAAGCTTCTGGCATGTCATTGTGGTCTCTCATGAAGCAGGTGGCATCACTGCCACTGGGCAAGTGGAAGGGGAAGTCTCCCAGGTGCGCAGGCTGGGTGATGCTCTCACTCACTGGTATCGTTGCCTCCTGTGATGTTTTTCACCTCAGGTCACAGGAGGCAACGATCACACCTCAGGATGCCTCTAAAAGTCCAGCTCCTGGATTCATGAGATTAGGTGAGATACTTGGCTTTCCCATAAAAGACCATCTTGAGCTCTCCTTTGCAGTTGTATCTGTGGAGCCACACTTTCCTGCCTTTCCTGCTCTATGAGTCCTAGAGTTTTTTCGAGGCAAGATACAGACCCCTTCAGAGCATGATGAGCACGCCCAGCATGGTCTTGCTCCTCAGGTGTACCTTCTCTTGCCACTCCATGAGTAGTCCAGAAACACCTGAAGATCACAGCTCAGCAGCACCAGCCCTGCAAAAGGAAAGACAAGCTCAGCAAACTGGAAGAGGAACGCACCCTCTGGGTATGGATACCAAACCAACCCCCCACAGAGCAAAATCAACCGTTTCCTGGTACCTGAAACTTCCTCTAATTTATGAGCACTGTTGCCAGTTGCCAAAAGAAGGCTTCTTATCTGCACTGTACTTTGGGTTCACGGCTGCTTTGTAAGTGCAGAGCGATTTGCCCTCCCCTTTCCCCCAATCTCCCTGAAGGCCTCCTGGTGAAGGTGCAGCCATCCCTGCCCAGCCCTTGGTCCCTGCATGAGATCTTTTGCCTTATAGGGAGACCTCCCACAGCCAGACCATAAGGGCAAGGCTACGGGGAGGATGCTCCAGGGTGAGACCCAAAGCGCAGGGCTCCTGCTGCTGCCTCTTGCAGTCAGCATGGGTTTTCTGCCCCAGCTGGATGCCCATCTGCTTTCATTTTCTCTGGCTTCTATTTATGGGTAGGAAAGTTGACTTTTTTTTCTCCTGTCTAGCTGCTGTGAAGGTGAAGGAGCATTTCCGGGGGACCCAGCCCCTCTGTGTATTCATTGGGAAAGTGCCAAGGGCCCTTGAAAGCCAAGCACCTAAAAATAAGATAGGCCTGGTCACCCAGTGATGTTTTTCAGGACTTGGTGACTCAGCTGCACTTGGAATTTTACTCAAATAAGGATACCAAATGGTGGATCTAATCTGGGCACCAATGGAGCATTTCTGCAAACATAGTACCAGACTTTTCATCCTTCCCTAAACCACCAGATCCTCTCTGAAGAAAAAGTAGGCTCAAACTCCACATTTGGGAAAGAGGCACAGGGAAACAGCACAGAAGACAAGGCACCAGTCTGGATTGTTCTAAAAGAAACACAAAGTCACAGGGAGTCAACCACACACCGGAATGGCAACATTACCATGGACCAAGCATAGATCAAACCAGAGGTGGATCCTGGAAATGCCAGGTGGTTCTGGCCTTGTGCCTATCTGGATGCCCTTCTCCTGAGGGCACCAGTAGATCTTGGCTGCACTGAGCAGCCCCCAGTATCTAAGACTAGGGAGATCTCCTAATGCAGGTACCACAGTGCCACTTGCAGGACAGGCCTTGGTATCTCAGGTCCTTGCTGGGAAGCCAGGCAGCTCTTCTATGTTGTTATTCCCTGTTAAAAATTGCAAGCATCACCCCACTACTACCACCACCGCCATCACTGTTCAATTTTAACACGTTTTATATAGGTCTTCAGAGGCTGTGGTGTGCATGGCCTTGGGAGAAGAAGCAACCAAGGCCTGACGCCTACCTGGTGTTGACTACCAAGGCCTTTTGTACGTAAAGAATAAAGAAATTACGTGTACGTAAGAAAAATACGTGAAATCCATTCTTCTCTGCCTTCAATGAGTCCTCTTGAAAAGGAGAGTGCAGGAGAAAAGCAGAGGTATGAGCTGCTGTTAAAACTAGTGGGATTTGACCTGTTGCTCTTAGACATGAGTCATACTTGAGGCTGTATCCTGCCCTTCATTCCTGACGCAGGAGGGGGTGAGCTCCTGCAAGCGCACAAGGCAGACTGGGGCTGAAATGTGAGAGGATCTCCTGTGCTTGCTCTGCAGAGCCCCCGTAAAGGCTGGACCAGCGGCTGGAGCAAGGCTGTGCTGCCTGATTGCTAGTCCAGATGTTCTGTCTGACTACTAGGACAGATGTGCTCGTTCTTCTCCCCATCACCTCAGGATGCAGCCTAGAGTATGACTTCTGGCACCTCCAAGTGCAATTTGATTTTAGCACCTTGAGTGTTTTCGGACCACAGCTTCACAAGAGGCAGGAAAAGGGATGGGGCCTTGCCCAGCTGGCCATGCGCTCGCCCAGAGAGGAGGTCTGCTAGACACCATGGCCTCCTCTTCACGGGAAACTGCCCTCTGTTGCGCTACCGTCTGGAGCTGGGGGTGGCTGACTTCCGAACGGAAAGTATGTCCTCATTCAACCTTTGGCATGATCGCTCTGCCCTCTGCCAATCCCTGTGGCAGTAAACTGGGAGCCGAGGGACAGGCCAGACGCCAGAAATCTAGCTAGGTTCACATGCAATAAATTCAGTGAAGGAAAACTGTACAGATGTCTGGGATAAATATTTTGGAAAAGAGCAAGCAAGATAGGCCAGCAGCTGAGCGTGTTTCTTGTGCACGTTGTGCAATGAGGTGCGCATGGAAGCAGAGTCTCAACAGTCAAACATCCCTTTCCTCTGAGAGCTTGTTGCCTTGCTGGAATTTCAGACAGGCTTGGTCTCAGGGAGTGAGATTGGGACTGACTCTAGGTAGCAAAAATACTTAGCCCTTCTCTGAGTTAGCACAGCTGGAACAACTGTCCTTGCCCATGGATGCACACTGTGCCATACCGTGCAGACATAACTCTTGGAGGTTGTGGATAACAGCTCTGATGCATCCCATCTGCCCGGCAAGGGGCTGAGCTCTTCTCATCTGCCCCCAACACGGCTGATGGGAGAGACACGCAAGGAGGCCTTCTCCCATACCTGGCATTGTGGTCCTGTTTCTTGAGCCCTGTTGTCAGGGTTATAGGAGCATCTAAGCTTGCCCTCTTGTGGCGGATGCACACACGAGCAAGCCGTGATCCACCTGCCCAGGTGGAGTTAATGGCTATGTCTGCTACCACAGCAGCTCGCCCTGCTTGTCCTTAACAGACAGGGCATTTTATCCGTTCACTAGCCTCCGTAGATGGCAGGCTAATCAGCCTGGAAAAGGCAAGGAGAGATCTAGTGGCCTTTGTCTACACAGAGTGTCACAGAGAAGAAAGACGAGTCTCTGCAGGAAGAGGATGAGAAGCTACAGACACAAGCTGCACCAGGACAAATGCTGGATGGGCTTGGAGTGGCAGCGCGTGGGGCAAGGCTTGAAGCAGTGGTCTTCTGAGGTGCCTTTCCACCCAAATCTCTGTGATTTTTAATACTGGGATTTTAAGACTCTGTGTGTGTGTGTGTGTGTGTGTTCATTGAGACTGTTCATAAGCCTCTTCTCAGTCACCTCTCAGCAATTCCATTTCCTATACCTCTTATTTCTAAAACCTTTATGCTGTTCTTCGCTATTTCACACAATCTGCATCTCCTCAAAATTACGGTGGCAGAAGCTGGCTTGAGACTCCCTCCCTGTGAGTAAGACGACGGATAGCACCATGAAGCTGTTCACGGTGAGACAGTGCCACATATATCCCAGCATGGCACAAGCCTCCATTCCCAGATGTCTTCATGCTTCAGCTGTAATCCAAGATAGCCCAGACACTATTTTGCAGCTCATGCCCTTCCACCAGCCATTCTCCTGGGCTATCGATAACTCAAACTACTCTTTGGCATAGCAGAAGTCTGGACAAGGTGCAACCACCCTTGGGGGCAAGAGGGAGAAGATATAAGAAAAAAAGAGATGTACCTGCACTTCAGCAGATATATATAAATATATATTTTTAAGGTAAACACAAAACACAACAGACGAAACATTATCACCAAAGAAACCACTGAAAACAAGGATGCCCCTAGATTTGCAACTAGATTACTATTAATGTGTTTTTAACGAGAGGCCTGCAGATGCATAGAAGAGCTTGTAAAAGACCTGCACATGCAATCTACCTGAGAAGTCCCTATACTTCTTTTTTGCTTGCACATCTGTGTGAAAAAGTCTTTTGAACCAGCCACAGGTGATGGTCCTATTGCAACTCTGTACTGGGATACAGAAGACTTCACCAGGCAGACCTCAACAGAGAGTCACTGTCTGTCAGGCAGGTGAGCGCTCACTGTATCCTTGCCTGGCTTGCCTGGAGATTTTCTTCATCAGCTGGAGCAAACGAGTGGCCAGAGGTGACCAGGTCAGCTTGCTTTTGCAAATGCAGCCTGCATTTTTGGCCAGCCATCAGAGAACATGGAGCACCTTGACTGATGAAATGTTCAATGGCTTCTCATCTCCCAGCACCTCACTGTGCTTTCCAGACAGCATGCAACCTTTAGAAATTGTCAAGACTGCGACAGGCAAAGTTTATCAAGTGAACTTATTTTGAATGGAGCTACATACTAAATTGATGTCTGCTCCCAGGCTGAGTCAGCAGAGGAAAGGGAAGTCCTAAAGGGGACTGTGCTTTGAAAAAGTACTTACAAGAAAAAAAAAAAAAAATCACTGCATTGAGGAAAACCCTGCTCCTTGGCCTCAGCCAGTTTTTGGAACCCACATGCTACCTTGCTTTAAGCCCAGTTTGCTAGGAGCCTAGAGCTGTCCTGCTCTTGGAAACCCTCCAAGTTGCATATCTGGTTCTATCTGCTTTACTACCAATGTCCTCTTGTACCACCGAAGTGGCAGCACAGCTGAGTCAAGCCCTATTTAACATCCAAGACACACGTGCACTGGAGAATCTAGGTCCTCATAGCAGAGCTCACCAATGTATGCTGTAAGAGAGCTCGTTGTCTTCACTCCAGTGCTTGCCTGTCCTTCTCCTCCTGTTTCGCTCTGCCATCACGATGGCAGCCACAACACTGACAAGCACCGTGATGGTGATAATGAGCACAGTTGCCATCTCTGCAGCACAGAGCTGGGTGTCCACAGAGGCCAGTGGGATGTTCCTCAGCACTGCTGGCTCTGTACACGTCATGTTCTCATAGTGGTCTAGGACCAGACGCTGGACACTATGCAGCTTGGCAAAGACCCTCTGTAGGTCGCAGTCACAGAACCAAGGGTTGTCAGAAAGCAGAATGTGTGTCCCAGCGGTCTGCAGGCTTAGGAAGGTTTTGAACCTGATGTGCTCAATGCAGTTATGCTCCAAGTTCAGGACGGTGAGGCTACTCAAGGATGTGAAGACACCAGGGCCAATTGTCTTGATCCTGTTGCCTTCCAAGTTCAAAATCTCCAAATGCTGCAGCATGGAGAAATCCCCGTCGTGAAGGCTGAGCAGCTGGTTGTTCTGCAGGTGAAGTTGCCGCAGGCGGATTAAGCTTCGAAAGGCCCCAGGTTCAATGGAGGAGATGTTGTTGTTTTGGATGTTGAGTTTCTGCAGGTTCTCAAAATTTTGAAAGCTCCTGAAACGAGCTGCCTGGATCCTGTTGTGGGACAACGACAGCTCGAGGAGAGCGCTGAGCCCAGCTGAAAAACTGCTTCCTAGCACTGTGATCACGTTCCCACTGATATCAAGCTTCTGGAGTCTCTCCAAAGAGCGAAATGCTCCCCTTCCTACCTCAGCAATGTCATTTCTGCACAGAAGGAGAACTTGCAGCTTCCACAGGGATTTCAGTGCCAGGCTGGGCATAGTATGCAAGCCACTGTTAGACAAATCCAAGTGCTCTGTCTCTGGCGGAAAGATGAGGCTTCCGCTCAGATTGACTCCAGAACAGTTCACAAATCTTGCCCCCTCCTTGCAAAGGCAGACTTTAGGGCAAGGCTGAAGAAATTCAGCGCTTGCAAAGAAGAGAATCCAAACCCAGAATAAGTAGTGGGTGTGCATCTTCTGTTTCATCTTGGGCAGCCAGCTCTTCCTGCAAAATAATTAAGGAATGATGAGAAATGCAGAGGTACATGTCTGGTAGCCTTTTGAGCTTGTTTTTGTTTTTTTTTTGTTAACTGGCAACAGTGTTTGTGTTGGCCCTGTCATTTCCTGCACCATTTCTCTGGTGTCAAGACTGAACATGTTTCTCCATGGCCATACTGCTGAAGGGTCTCCCAGCCTGAAGCACCTTCCCCACACTTGACCTGGAAAGGTGTGTTACTAACCCAGATCATTTTCTGATCCATCTTGCAGCGCCACCTCACAAGCTATTTCATCCTCACAGGTAAGAGGTGCAAACAGCATCCCAGGGGAAGGACTGTGAAACAACTTTATAGCCATATACAGAAAGCAGGTTAGTTTACAGTGTCAGCTTTCAAGCTGGGGCCAACCTCACTACTACACTAACACTTCCCCTCATCACTCACCTCAGGGCCATCTCCATCCCACCAGGAGCACTGTGCACCAGCTGACCTCTGATTGCTTCTGCTCACTGGAAGATATGTTCATCAACACCTGGCAAAGGCATAAGAGACATGCTAAATTTTTAATGAATGTGTGCCCGGGAGTTGCACTTGCTGTGATCTGCCCAAATCGAGGCTGTTCCACCGTGCAACACAACGACCACACATTTTCTTATAACTTAACAAACACCTCTGTTGTGCAGCCAAGGCTGTCTGTGGTTTCACCGCAGGACCAGTTTAAGAAGGTCAAGCACTGGGACCTCTCTTGGTCCTGCTTTGGTGGCTATCTGTCCATACAACTTTCAAGCTTGAGAAATGCAGGAGAGACCTTGAGAGATGTCAGTGAATTACGGTGTAACTAGATGTAACGGTGTACAGAGGAAGGGGGCTTGCTAAACCTAAGGGCTTCACTAACTGTCACTGTCAGCTGTCAAATGCGGAGGAGACAGAGCTGGACTCATCTGCACAGTGATGAGACCGGATGATACAAGGAAAACCAAAGAGGGTGTAAGGGAACTCTCCTCACCCCTAAACATGGGGCCATCCTGGGACAGAGTGAAGAGAACTGGGGGAGCTCTGGCCTCTGAGGTGTCCTAGTCTCACCCGGCTGCAGCTCTGCACAGTTGTTCCCAACTTTGAGGTGCTCTTGTCTGGGGCATGGTTTGGACAAAGACTTCTGGCAGTGCCCCCTGCCCTTCACTGGTTCATACAAAGAGTGGTGCTTTGGGGATTTGAGCTTGTCCTGACAGGGAACTAGCGGGGTTGTACTACATAGCACAAGAACACAACTACAGGAGACACCGAGAGGTCTTTTTTCCCCATTTCTAATTTCCATATGCTCTGGAAAAAAAAAAGTTATACTTCTCCTATTTCCTTATCAGTGAGGCTAAAATAATAATAATAATAAAAAAAAACACATAAGAAAGGTCAGTTATCCTCATCATTAAATGAGACTCCTCTTCATCAAATTCTGAAGCAGAAATATCTCAGCAGCTACTTTCTCAGGCTCACCATTTTTTCGAATCTCTGGAGCTAACCTTCCCTTACCTTCATGCTCTGTCTTTGCATCCATCATGATGGAGATCAGTTATAATGGCTGTAATGTCCGGTGTTTCAAAGTACCTCTGTATTTCAAAATGAAAAAAAAACAACCAAACAACAACAACACATACTTTTTTTCCCCTAAGCAATAGTATGAGACAGAGGCATGAAAAGCTGTAGGTTCAGAGCACAGGCTTACTGGGACTGTTGCTGGCTTTGTGCCTAAGCTAGTAGTACAGTAGAGCCCTGAACCCTTGAAGAAAAGTCACAAACAGCAAGAAGTGTTAGCCTCAGGCTTGGTTGCCTCTTAACATACTTTACAGGTGACAAAACAGCACCAACTGACCTATGCAAGCCATGCTACCCCCCCAGGCCACTGCAGGATTTGATCAAAAGTGATCCTTAGGCAAATGGCAAGATTAATCATCATCATCAATCATCAGCAAAAAATCCTTTCCCTTTACAGCATTGCCTCCCTTTGCTTCTTCCATAGGTAGGTGCTGGAAAATCAAAATGTCTTTTACCTGTCTTGTGGCTCTATCTTCTGCCTTCCTCTGTGGACATCCACCCATAGCCAAAGCTAGCTGGAAAGCCTTAGCTGGAAGCACCAGGCATGTGCAGAAAGAGCAGAGGACGGCTAGAGAAGGGGAGTGTTAATAATTCAGGTAGCTCAAAGTAGCAAAGGAGCAAAGTGATGCCTGCCACCTGCCTCTCTCTGGAAACAGCTGTCATCATTTTCCCAGATAGCTGAGACACACAAACAGAAGCACAAAGCACCCGGCAGCAAGGTCAGACCCTTCTCCTCCACAGTCTGGGAAGTACAAGGCGAGTCCTGGGCCAAAGGTGCGCAGGTGCGCATACCAGTCGGGGGTCCCAGTCCTCAATTCGAGGGTCCTGGCCTCGTCCTTCCTCATTTCCGGGCGTTTGGCCTCCAAAGCTAGTTTGGAGGATGTTTGCGATTAAGTTGGCTACAAGCCCAACTTAGGGACCAGCTTCAATAGGTTTTCGGAGGGGGCTGCCTGTGAACTGGGCTGAGCAGCTGCATCCATGTTCCTTATTGCTCAGCCTAGGCAGGCAAACATCTTCTTTCTCAAGGCCTGGCCTCTGCTTCCCACGGGAGATTTTTATGACTCTATAGATCATAGACATTTCCATCTCTAATAGAAGGCTGCAGCCGCTTTCTGGAGAGTGGGGCACTCCTGCCCGCTCTGGGGAACACTCTGTCTACAGGGGGCACGGTGGGCACGAGGGGGCTCTCACCTGGCCAATAAACCCACTCCCTGGTGCTGCATCTCGGCGCTCTGGAGCATGGCCCAGCCAGCACCAGGCTTTCGTGGCTAGCGTGGCACAGCAGAGCTTTCATTGTCTGCACTGCCAACCTGCGTGCAGAGCAAACACCAGGTCACACTTGCACCCCCGGCCCTGCCTCCAGCTCCGTGGCAGGGACAGTGGGGATCCAATGGGTACCTCACAGGGCTGCTGCAAGGAGGTTCTTCCCCTGGGCATTCTCTCCAGATGTCAAATATCTCCGTCATCAACTCTTGCTGCCGAGATGTCCCTCCTGGGCTGCGCGAGCTTGGCAGTGATGCTCACGCACTGCCCTATGACTCAGCAGGGGGAACCATGGAGGAAGAGAGAGAAGAGGCTTCCTCCACAAACTCACAGGTAGGGAAGAGATGACCATGGTGCCCATCTGACGTCTCCATCTCATGCAGCAGCCAGTCCTCCAGCACACTGAGCAGCTCCCGCAGCACCCGCTCCGCAGCTCCGGGCGTGGACACGAGCGCCTTCCACACGGCTGCGGCGGCGCTGCAGGCCCAGAGCGCTTGCTCAGCGGGTGCTGCAGCCGCAGCGCCGTGGCCTGCGCTGCCCGCCAGCCCTGCCGCTGCCCGCCAGCCCTTGCCAGCACAGACCTGTCGCAGGATGGGGAGCAGTACAGCAGGCAGGCAACCACCACGTCCGGGAACGTGCTGCTCCGGAGAAGAGCCCTGCTCAGGCTCTGGTGCGCAGCCGCGTCGCTGATGGACACGATGTTTAACCAGAGGTCCGTGTCCTCATTTGTCTGTCTTTGAAGCTCCAAGGCGTCATACCTATCACATATCATCACCCAAGGAGGTGAGGTGGGCTAGGAGGGGATTCTCCTGCCAACCAAAGCAGCGACCTGTTTCCATTCATCCATGTTTCTTAATTTCACCCCTCTGCGCTATGGCAAGAGCGTAGGGGATCCTCAGATGCATTGGGAGTGTTCCCCCAGTGAACTCTTGAGATGACTGCAGGGTGTGACTCCACTAACCTATCCCTTTCTCACATTCTCTGATGGCCCTTAGTTTTTCTAGCTCCATCTTCAGTGCCACTACCAGGCTAAGCAGTTCCTCCACTTTTTCACACCTAACACAGGTGCTGCCTTTGCTACCTGCTAGTAAAGCTGAGAAGACCAAACACACTCTGAGCCCCTGACATGCCTGGGGCAGCTCCGTCAGAGTCGCCAGTCTTGTGGTGCTGCCTTGCTACCGTGTAGCCACCCTGGCTTTGGCTGATTCCTCACCGAGGGGCCGAGCGTGGGGAAGGCTCCCTGCTGAGCCGGGAGCAGAACTCCTGCCTCC